AACACTACCAGTTTGCGGTACTCCCTTTCGGCCTAGCGACAGCACGGAGGGAGTTTACCAAGTGCATGTCAGTAGTAGCGGCTTACCTCAGATGTCAGGGTATCCAGATCTACCCGTACCTCAACGACTAGCTGGTCAAAGGTCGATCCAGGTCCCAAGTCCAAAGAGATGTCATGGTGTTGCAGGCCATGTGCTGATTCCTGGACCTGCTGGTAAACAACAAAAAGTCAACGTTAGTTCCAGTATAGAGGATAGAGTTCATCGGAGCGGTTCTCAACTCCACCTGCACCAGAGTGTTTCTACCACAGGAAAGGTTCTGAGTGTTGGTGGACCTCATTGCAGACATCTCCGCATTCCCCCTGACCATGGCCAGGGTTTGTTTGTGCTTGCTGGGACACATGGCAGTACGTACATATGTCGTCTGCCATGCCAGGCTCCGGATGCGGCCCTTACAGCCTGGCTGGCGAACGTCTATTTCCAGTCCAGAGATCACCTGGAAAAAGTCGTTACCATCCCACCAACGATACTTACCTCGCTGCAATGGTGGACTGACCCCAGGGTGGTCTTGGAAGGAGTTCCATTCGACAGCCCTTGTCACTCCATTGAGTTGATATTGGATGCCTCATACCTAGGCTGGGGAGCGCATCTCGGCGAACTCCAGACCCAGGGCATGTGGTCCCCGGAGGAGATGATGTTGCACATAAATGTCAAAGAGCTCAGAGTGGTACGTTTGGCCTGCGGAGTCTTTCTGCTGCACCTGGCAGACAAGGTGGTGAGAGTGCTGACAGACAATACAGCCTCGATGTTCTACATCAACAGACAAGGGAGAGCATGCTCATCGGCTCTCTGTCAAGAGGCTCTCCGATTATGGGATTTCTGCATCGAGCACACGATCCACTTGAAGGCCTGTCGTCTCCCTGGTGTCAGGAACACACTGGCAGATCGCCTCAGCAGATCCTTTTTCTCTCACCATGAGTGGTCACTCCATCCGGAGGTAGCCCAGACACTCTTCCAGAGGTGGGGAACTCCCCAAGTGGACCTGTTTGCCCCGAGAATAACAGGAAAAGTCATTGCTTCTGTTCCCTACAGGGTCTGGGCAAGGACTTGCCTAGTGGGTGTCACCCAGGTGTAACCACATTTGAAATACAGATACATAGTCAATATTCACAACTTCAGATACAAAAATTATATATGTACACACATAGGATAATCATATTTAGCAAATCAACTTTTCCAGTGACACCTTACATGACCCGCCTTGTACAAAATGCATCACAATTATGCCGTAATCATATCATAATAATATCACTATGATGAATAGGGGGTGTAGTGTCACACTTGGAACTTGTGCTGCAGCGGAATTTCGGTGGTGTTTAAGAGACATCCCACTGTGTCAATGCAGGCATCCACAGCCCATGAAACACATTGTTGAGGACTCCAAAATTACTCAACTTTCTGGAGGTCTTCGTGCCTTGAACATCATTTATAAAATATTGTGGCTTGACTCAACTGGATTGTGTACGCCAAATAGATAAGAAGTACCTTTGCCTGATATTTGTAAGACAGCAATGTGGAGGTCCATCCACACATTCACAAGACATTATGCCTTGGTCCAAGCCTCCACGACAGTGGTTCTACAAGCAGCCATACTACCTCCATTCTTGCACCCTCCTCCTCCTCTATGAGTATTGCTTGTCAGTCACCCACAGTGGAATACACATAGGGACCAGCACTCAAAAAGAAAGGGCAGTTGTTTACCCTTTGTAACTAGAGTTCTTTGAGATGTGGGGTCCCTGTCTGTATTCTACTACCTGCCCTCCTTCTCCTCTGCTTCGGATCATCTCTGATTCACGGTCAGAAGAGGAACTGGAGAAGCATCAGTCCGCACCACCCTTTATACCATCAGCAAGGACACAAGGAGACTGAGGTTGCAGGCACAGACCAACGGACACTACTTGCTAGAATTCCTGGTCCTAGGTATATGGAGCACATGCATACCCACAGTGGAATACAGATTGGGACCACACATCTCATAGACTTTAAGGCCAGAAAAGAGCATCATGATAATCTAGTCTGACCTCCTGTGCATTGCAGGCCACAGAACCTCACCCACCCACTCCTGTAATAGACTCATAACCTCTGGGTAAGTTACTGAAGTACTCAAATCATGATTTAAAGACTTCAAGTTACAGAGAATCCACCATTTACACTAGTTTAAACCTGCAAGTGACCCATACCCCATGCTGCAGAGGAGGGCAAAAAAAACCCAGTGGGGAAATCTGGCAATCTGCCCTGTGGGAAAATTCCTTCCTGACCCCAAAAATGGCAAACAGTTAGAGCCTGAGCATGTGAACAAGACACACCAGCCAGGCACCTAGGAAAGAATTCTCTGGTAACTAAGAGCCCTCCTTATCTAGTGTCTCATCACCTGTCACTGGAGGTATTTGCTGCCAGCAGTTGCAGATCATAGAATCATAGAATATCAGAGTTGGAAGGGACCTCAAGAGGTCATCTAGTCCAACCCCCTGCTCAAAGCAGGACCAATTCCCAGCTAAATCATCCCAGCCAGGGCTTTGTCAAGCCGGGCCTTAAAAACCTCCAAGGAAGGAGACTCCACCACCTCCCTAAGTAACGCATTCCAGTGTTTCACCACCCTCCTAGTGAAATTACCCTTTCCTGGGATAGTGTAATAGCGT